ACCGTACCCTAGTTTAATAGTTTTGCAGTTGCTATCCCGATGATGATTTTCCACCCTTTTGCTTTTGGGCCGATTGTGGACGAGGAGGGATTAAAACCCCTAACACTGTGTTTCATAGCCATGTGATTTAATCTTCTAAGCTACACGCCTACAAAGGCATGAGAGAAAGATTATCTAGTGATTATGAGGCTTTGACTCTTGATTGAAAGTGATGCCTAAGGCCTTTGCCCTGGAATCTAATAGAAAGGGAGGTGGTAGTTTTGGTTTTTCATGGTGTTAAACGGTTGAATAATGAAAATGGATGACGAGTGCTTAATTAAATTGATCATGTAGGAACAAGGTGCAAATCTCTTGGTCTGTTAGGATGCCTTAATGTTGATGCCCTTCAAAGTCCTTTGCCATGTCCAATTTGATATTCTTCAACAAAAGGATTTGTCCATATAGGAATAGAATGATAAGTTTGAGTATCTCATGTTGAAGTGCAATGTGCTTTAAGCTATGCGCATAAAGGAAATCAACAGAAGAGATGCATTCATGAATCACTAGTGTGGTAGAATTGCAATATATTGGATATTTTTGATGTAGTTAAGCTACCAATGAGGGTCAAGCGGTAGTGGCTATCTCCAAATTCAATGCCACAAGAATCACAATAATGACGAGAGTCTTCACAGTGACTTCATTGCTAGACCCACAAAATTGGCATTCATGTCCAATAAGCCAAACTATGACCAGAACAGTAGGAACAAAAATGCGCCTTCCAACCCCAAACATGGAGTGTTTCAAGTGCCATGGATTTGGATACATTGTTTTCAATTATCCCAATCGACATATGATATCCTTGGTCGTGTAAACAACCCAATAGAATGAAGCATAGAGAGTATGATTATTTGAAGAATGAAGAGGTGCTCTAAAGCAGATGAAGGGGATTTACTTGTTTGTCAAGTGTTGAACACGACAATAGCGAAATCAAAGGATTGGTTGTAGCGCAACATATTTCATGCTCATTGCATTCTATAGGGCAAGGTGTATATTATTATCGATGGGAAAAGCTGCAGGAACATTATACCTACGAAGGTGGTGGAGAAGCTGTGTTTCTAGACCCACAAGCATCCAAAGTGGTACAAGCTATTGTAGTTGGGAAAGGGGAATGAAATCAATGTGGCAAAGAGATGCTTGATCAATTTCACCATTGAAAAAAAATTCCAAGGCCAGATTAGGTGTGATGTCATTCCAATGGACGTCTAAAGTATCTTATTAGGGAGATCGCAACAATATGATCAACATAAAATCCATCATAGCTATGAGAACATCTACACTTTTAAGAAAGATGGAGAAAGGATCATGTTGTTCCCTTTGCAAAATGAGTTTGTTTAAAATCAATATTTATAGACACAATGTAGGAGATGAAGATTACCTATATGCTATGATCGTCCTAGAAGAAAATCTTGAGGACAAATCCCTTTTTAAGGAGGTCCAACCCTAGCTACAATATTATCATAACATCTTTCATTCGAGAGATGTGAGCTGTGATTTGTGTTTTTTTTTCTTTTGCATTATTTTGTGGGTGGGATCAGATTATTGATCAATCAGAACTTGTGCATAATAAATTGCCATGCCAAACCATTGGTCAAAGTCTATTTGAAGTCATGTATGGCCCCTTCGCTCCTATTGAACTCTTAATCCAAAATCCACCGTCACATAAATCAATATTGATGCAGATAAAAGACTCAGGGAGATTAAAAACCTAAATTAGATGGTTTGTGATATGACTGAGAAGCAAAAACTAGCCAATTATCATAAACATGCCAACAAATTTCAAAAGCAAAAAATTTCAAGGAGACAGTTTGGATTCATATAAGAAAGAAGAGATTTTCATCAGGACCATATGCCAACACAAAACAAGAGCTGATGGACTTTTTGGGTTATCCAATGCATATGAGAACACCTACAAGATCAAAATGCCAGGTATTACAATGTTTCCGCCACTTTTGATTCAGTAGATCTATCACCTATCACGACCCCGATGTTGTTCAAGATATCCTAGATGATTCTTCTCCAATCCAAGGTGATTGACACCATGTCAAGATTGGTGCTTGGGAACCAAGATTCATTGTTTGGGTGTCACCTGCTGCAGAATCTAGGATTGAGTCCCGGCGGTGCCAACTGTTCAGTTTTTGTTTGTTTGACGTTAAGCTCCTTAGCGTCCAAGACTGGCACTGCTTTGCAGACCCGCCTGAAAATGTTTTCTTACAGCGCAAGAGTAATTTATTTTCTTTATTTGTTGTATCCAATTTAGAGTGGAGCTAAGATCTGCTATAGAGAACATTTATTGTAATTGAAAAGACTTTTTTTTTATGTATAAATAGGTTCAGTTGGCTGGTGTTGAACTCTACATGTTGGTCTGTAAGGTAACGTTTATTAGCTTATTCCAAAATTTTGTGGCATAGGCGTTGAAATTTTGATTTTATTTGAAGCTTTGTGTATTTTTTAAACATGGTCAAATTTAGGTCAACAAAACTATGACTTACGAAAATTTGAGCTTTTTGCAGTGATTAAAGAACCTAAAAATATTATGATTATGATGCAACCCTAAGTTTTTAAGCCAAGTAGGAGAACACTAGGAATGCCAATGATAACACTCCCATTCAATAGAACATAAACAAACAAAAATATTGGAAACTAAGTAGGAAACTAAACTTATAAAATTGTTAGGAAGACACAAAATAACCAAACAACTATATTAAAATACCCTCAGAACAACCACGAATGGTCACCTCACATGCGAATCATGAAAATAAGGAATGAGCTCAAAGGATAGGACAAACGAACTAACACCACATACAACTGGACACAACACCACTTACTATTCATAATAGTTTAGAGAGAAAGATACAAATGGAATGAAAACCGTGGAGAGAAGAAGTAGAAAGAAGTCCGAGATGAATTAGTAGAGGGAAGATAGAGGACAACTCGCAAGCTTTTAAGAAGCCCTCAAGTTCTCATAATAGTTTAGAGAAGAAAGATACAGATGGAATTGTAACCATGGAGAGAAGAAGTAGAAAGAGGTCTGAGACAAAGTAGTAGAAGATAGAGAGAAGATAGCTCGTAAGTTAAGAAAACCCTCAGATTTTTTAAATGATCATACCCTCCAAAACTCTTTTTCACAAAGGAATACAACCTCAATTTATAGGGAGAAAGAGGGATGGGTATTTATTATCCCACATAAATATGCCACTAAAGCCCTTCCAAATCTGTCTATTCATGGAGAAGTCAAAGCAAATAGCACAGGGATCAGCAAGGGAAAGAAACCGAGCATCCAGCTTCATGGAAACCAAGAAAACAGCAGGGATACCGAGAAGCCACATGGGGAAACCAAACAACAGGAGGTAATTCAAGCAATCAACAGGGAAAACGAGTAGACAGTAGAGAAAATAAGAAGACAACATGAAAATGGAAAAGACAACATAGAAATTTAGAGGAGCCACAGGAGATAGAGAGCTAGAAACACAAGTGGAAAACCAATGTAATGAACCTGCCTAAGAGCACCAAACCCAAGTATGATCATAGGTTGTTTTCCATCATAGGGCCATATAAAATAAACTTCCATAGCATCCAAAAATATAAGAAAAAAAAAAAAAAACATAAAAGACATAAAAGATTGCATCAGATTATCACCTACATAGGGTGGGATATAACCCAAGAATATGATCCCTAAAGAGAATCTAAATTTTGACTCAAAAGACAAGTAAAATTTCTAGTACAAATATGGCCCATTTACACTATGAATATTCACTAACGTGGTTACACATGTCATTTACTGGCCCAGTTTTGATATGACACATTTGACTGATGGGTTAGCTTCGGTTAAGCGTAGAAGGATGTCAACCCCATACTTGAATGCAAACCTAAAGCAACACCTCTAGTTGGTGGAGCATACTCTTGTGGGAGGGTATGGTTATTACCTGCAGTCGTATGAGATCACCACCATGCGATAACCACTTTTTATTGCAGAGCACAATCAAAGATGGCTGGTGTGGAGAGTACAAGCAAAATTTTGGAAGCTTGTCGTTAAAATATTGGGTTCCATTGTTCAAGTATTGTATTAATAAATGAGCCCATCTATCTCTCCCATTGATCGATGGAATGCACAATGAACAGGCTGTAATAATGGGTTGATTGATTTGTGTGTGTGTGTGTGTGTATATATATATATATATATGTGAGGCGAGGCGGGCCTCATAAAAAAACTCGAGGCGTTTTTTACTGGAATTGCGCAAAGGCGGGCCTCAAGGCGAGCCTCATATTGCACAATTTTAAACCATGCTTCATAAGTTTCTCATGTATTTTAAAATGTGTTTTTTAATGATCCCTTTTGGGGTTGTTCATGTTTAAGGGCTCAAAGCATATATAACTATTAGGCTCATCCTTTTACTGATGAGACTTTGGTAGTTTTTTATGAATTAATAGATCTTTAAAAATATGATTGTATTCTTTTTTCTAAGCTATAGTCAAGCCATTGATTATGACCTGCTAAGAATAATATGTTGATCAAGTTTTATTAATTTTTATGTTGGTTTAACTGTTCATTAAGCATTTGAAAAGAATAAGGACGGTCATAAGACATATATAAGCTTTTAAAAATTGTAGTTTTATCCATCTATTTGACTAATCAAAACTGTCCCATACATCCAAGATACCATCAATCTATGTATTTGATTCCTAGTCATTTCAAAATATCTACCCTGAAATTATACTTGTCTTATCATACAATCGGAAAATTTTGACGCATTTGATTGATGATCAAATGTTTTTGATCTTGCATTTGACGTTCACAATAGGTGATGAACGATAATTCTCTTCAAATGATGGGGATAATTTAATTTTTCCACAAAGTATTTGACTTTCTTCCTGTTTGTCGGTTTGTATTTCTAAGAACTCTCAGAATATGGGCTTTTGCAACCTGTGAAGTTAGGCTTTTGCTTACTTTATATTTAATGCAGGTGAACCTACTGCTAACAAAATGGATGAAAGAACTGGAGAAGATTTTCTATGGGAATATTGTTGTTTATGATGATGCCATGAAACCTGATGCCAAGCATGATGAACTTGCAAATGCTATATGGAGGTAAAACTAATATGAAAATTCTGATTGAAGTTCTCAGCAAAGGTTAGGTTGTGGAACTGATATATTAATTTCATAATACATGCACGATTACATGACCTTATGATGAAACTGTTATGGCTGCAAGCCAAGATAGGCTGGACCGGCAATTAACTATAGGGGCTTGCGCCTATAGGAAACCAGAACTCAGATCATAAAGTCCTCGCAAAATGAGGGCGAAATCTCTGGGTAGTGTCTTATCTACAAACTCATCTGCCTTCCAAAATTTACCCCAGAACTTAATTCGTTAAAACTCTCTCGTCGAATAAGAACAGCGAGCGGAGGCCGGGGCCGAATTTTCGGAGCCCACAGTCTCTCCTGTGGGGCCCAACAAAGCATTAAATTATTATGTTAGGAGAGTAATTAAGAAGGGAATTAAGTCGGGAATTGAGGGAAAGATCTCCTATTTTAATTCAAATAGGAGAGTGAAATTTATAAGGAAAGAAGGCTGAATTGGGGATTGATTGAAGGGGATTAATTATGAGATGTTTCATAATTAAAAGTGCAGATTTGGGGGCTGAATTGGAGAAGATTAATTATGAGATATTTCCTAATTAAAGAGGACAGATTTGGGGCTGAATTGGAGGAGATTAATTAGAAGATATTCCTAATTGAAGAGGGTTGACTTGACTTAGGGGCTGATTTGAGAGGGAATTGGGGAGGACTGTTTTGGAATTTGTTGTTTTATTGTTTGCTATAAGTGGTAGGGTTTATGTTATGTTTTTATGCAGAATTTGATTTGAGAGTGATGTAGATTTCCTTTGTGAGGGATTCTAGCGGCGTTTAGGGTTTGGGAGAGGTCCTCTTGAAAGAGGACAATTGTATCTTGCTTTGTTTGTATTTGATTTTCTATCAATATAAACCTATTTTTTTATTGAATCTCTTGGATTTTGTTGCTGTTTTTTATACCAAGGCGCATCAAATTGGTATTAGAGCAAGATTTTTGGAGAGATGCAGCAAAGAAAGTGGATGCATTGATTGACAAATTAGAGCAATTCAAATCTGGTATGGAAAAGTTTTTTATTATGGAGAATCGGATTGAGAGTCGATTTGGAGGGATAGACAAGATGTTAAGGAAACTCATGAAGATGCAATCCAAAATTCAACCGGTGGTTTCAACTACTAACCCTAACCAAGATTTGATCGGGATTCCCTTAGCCGAATCTAAGGGAAAAGAGATCAGATGGAATGAGTTCGACGAGGAGAGTTCTCGTCCATCAAGAGCCTCCTCCTAGGGCTATAAAGGGTGGATCAGGGTTTCTAGAGGAAACAACAAGGAGGGAATTGTGTGGTGGAGGTGGTGAAGTGGTCGATCATTTTGGTCAAGGGCGGTGGCCGACCAGAGATGAAGAGGGGCAAGCTGAACCATGGGATCATGTCATGCAAGAATGGATGGAAGAAAGGTGGGAGTCCCATCCTCAATACACAGGAAAAATATGGAGGAATTATGACAACCGCTACACTGGAGGAGGAAGAAGTTATTGGGGTGGTAGTGATCTTAGGGTGAGGAATTTGAGGATGCTAGTATTTGAAGGAGAGGATGCCTATGGGTGGGTTTACCAGGAGAATATGTATTTCATGGTGATTTGGTTGAATGAAGAGGAGAAGTTTACGACTACAGGGCTATGTTTGGAGGGAAAAACTCTAGCTTGGTTACAGTGGATGATAGCATGACCACTAACTGAGCAGTTGAAGAAAGCCATGAACAACTTCTCATCCTTTCATCTTAAGGACAAGGTGCGTCTTTGGCAGGGAAGTATTGTTACAACTGCAGACCAAGGGAAGCTGGACCGGCTGGCCCAGTAGGCGGTGGAGGGGGCAGAACCTGAAACCAAATCTAGGGAGATTTTGGCCTCTCTTGTGGGGCCCAACAAAGCAATAAATTATTATGTTAGGAGACTAATTATGAAGGGAATTAAGTAGGTAATTGAGGGAAATATCTTTTATTTGAATTCAAATAGGAGATGAAAATTTATAAGGAAGGAAAGCTGATTTGGGGCTGATTTGAAGGGGGATTAATTAGGAGATATTTCATAATTAAAAAGTGTAGATTTAGGGGCCGAATTGGATGAGATTAATTATGAGATATTTCCTAATTAATGAGGACAAATTTGGGTGCTGATTTGTGGGTTGAATTGGAGGAGATTAATTAGGAGACATTTCGAAATTGAAGAGGGCTGATTTGGGGGCTGATTTAGGAGTTGATTTGAGAGGGAATTGGGGGAGGGCTATTTTGGATTTTGTTATTTTATTGTTTGCTATTAATAGCAAGGTTTATGTTATGTTTATATGCAGAATTTGATTTGAAAGTATTGTAGTCTTCTTTTTGTGAGGGATCTTACCGGCATCTAGGATTTGGGAGAGAAGGTTCTTCTCTTGAAAAGGACCATTGTATCTTGCTTTGTTCGTATTTGATTTTCTATCAATATAAACCTATATTTGTGTTGAATCTCTTGGAGTTTGTTGTTGTGTTTGATACCAAGGCACATTAAAAACCTGAAGGAACTAGGGGAAATTTATGGCTTGAAGATCTTAACCCCCCTTCCAAAAATGAGCCCTGAAATTTTTTTACTTAATACAAATTTACTTCTGAACAGTTATCAATCTCAACAGTTATCAATTTCTAACCAGCTACTATTTCAACCAGCACACTCAGCTGATTTCATCGGTTAGCTATATTTGGATAGAAATGACAAATAAATGATAATGACACAAATAAACATTGGCTCTTGTTATTCGCAGAAACTCAATTGCATACCATCCCATGCGACGATGCAAAATATATTTGCAGCATTTGATAAAAATGCCCACAAATTTAACAGGGCTGGTCTGATGATTGCATGCCCTCTTCTTTAATTAGTTGATGGAAGCGAGGTTGTGTGGGACCTTTCCTAACAGGAATAAATTTTGAATGTAAATTAAACAATATTTAAAAAATATTTTATATCCTACCTAACTTTGTATTATTTATTTGTTCATTACCTCCTGACATACATATAAACATATTTACACTGATATATGGTAGCGAACCTTTATCTTCCAACAACAACATCAAGCCTTTATCCCACTACGTGGGGTCGGCTACATGAATCCTTTTTCTCCATCATAAATCTTTATTTTCATTTAGGGTGCTAAGGTCACTATAGTCAATCTTATTTTCACAATCTTCATTAAAAACTTTAGCTTTATCTTCCCATTAGAAAAATGACCATCTTTATTCAATTAATATTTTTAGATTATTTCCTTGCATTTTTGGTACTTGACAAGCCATATCAGGTTCATATGAAGTAAATTAAGTTGTAAAGACAACTTTATTATCAGATTGAATGGTTAGCAGAGTCCTGAACTTTATTTTGGACGAAGTTGGGCATTGAACATCAATTGCTTACATCCGATTTGTGCTTACAATCAGGTTGGGTCTGGCCAATATTGATTTCAGGTTGGAATGCATTAACCCACCCAAAATAGCAAGCAAATTGTGTCAAGCGGGTGGAGTAACTTCCTTGAGCTAGTGGCTACGTCCACTTTAAGTGCTCTGTCAAATTTTCTTCTTCTTTAATGCCTTCTAGACTAATGACAAAATTTTTATGTTATTGATCATTTATTGGCTATTATTTGTTTAGTCAGCTTTAAAATTTATTTTGAAAATTTTATTATCACTATTATTATTATTATTATTATTATTATTATTATTATTATTATTATTGTTTTATTGTTATTTATGATATTTAATTTTATTTTTATCTTTGTTACCTATCCCAAGCCTGTATATGAAAGATTGAGAGTTGATGTTCAGTTAATAACTAGTTTCTACAAATCTAATAAAATGAATCTAAATTTGAATTTCATTAGTGCTAAGGTGTTCCTAGGTAGTAAAACACCATGATAGCTCGTTCTTGTGCGAAGTTGGCAACTGTGGGCTAGGATGTCACCCTTAAGGGATGCACTGCAATGTAATTCAATTGTGATGAAGAATTAACAAGGTTGGGCTAGGACGTCACCCTTAGGTAGTGCATCACAAGTTAACCTCACCTATAATAAGGTTAGAAGTAATTGGTGAAAAGTAAGCAAGGGCTTGTGAGGTCTAAATTCATGATTGGATTTGCCAAATGGAATTAGGAACTTACTTGGAATTAGCACACCGTGATAGCTCGTTTTTGTGAGAAGTTGGCAACTGTGGGCTAGGACGTCACCCTTAAGGGATGCACCGCAATGTAATTCGATTGTGATGAAGAATTAGCAAGGTTGGGCTAGGACGTTGATGCATTCATATTTTGGTTTATTTTTGTTTTGATGTAATTTGAATATTAGTTGTCTTTTATATATTTTTTTATGCTATCCAATGATGTAGAACATCCAATGATCATGGTAGGATGTGCTTGGGCATAGCAAGGCTTGGGTTCGCTAGCATTTTGGGTCATTTTGCTCTTTGGGCTGCTTACTGTCTCTCGGTATGGGCCTTGGCTGCTCTCGGGTTGGGCTTTGGCTGCTCTGATTGTGAGTTGAAATCTTGGGATCTTCTTGGTGCTAACTTATAAATGTTTAAGCTGATGTTTTAGCTCATTAATTAGAGGAGTTATTGCACTTGAAAGCTCATTATGTGGAGTTTGGAATCTTGTCTCTTCCCCTTCTTTGTGTCTCCTCCGTTCCTCCCTTTGTGTTGTTCCTGTGGCTGATTGCTGGGTGCTGGTTCCGGTTCTCTGGATAGCCTTCTCGGTTTCCTCTCTGGCTGCTTTCCCGTGGCTGTCTCTACTCGGTTTATGTGTTGGCTTTTCGGGTTCCTCCCTGGCTGTGTTCCCGTGGCTTCTCCTACCCGGTTCTTGTGCTATCTTTGGGATTTGTTTTGTGTTGACACCTGGTCTTCCTCTTCCCCTTACCTGATTGGTTTGGTTGGAGGTAGAAGTTGGCTATTTGGTTGCCCTCTTTTCTTCTATAAATATAATGTGTTTTGTGTGTTTTAAAGA